GGTATATATATATAGCATTCATGTATTTATACATTGATACATTACCAAAAAAATTTGTTTGGTCAAGAGAAAAATTTGATTCAATTTTTAAAAATCAAAATATATATGTATTTTAGTCAAAGATTTATACAAATTCATAACATAGATAATTATCAAAACTTCTGAATTGGAGTTCGAATTATTCTAAATAAACTACTTGAAAAAAAAATTGGAATTTTTCTAATACAATTTAAAGGTCAATGTCGTTCAATTTTTGTGTAGTTATAGTTAGAACGAGTGTTTTAATTAGTTGAAATTAATTTTGTTTGAAATTGCTCGTGATCAGCGTATTTGCATTTAACTTGATTTATAAATTATTATTTGTGCTAGGCTCAAAATAGGGTCCTTTATATTTATTAGAAAAATAGATGCACGATGGGATTTGAGCCAACACTATTTCTATGTAATAAAGGGAGCGGAACAACATGACCGCACGAGCTATGGTGATTTGTGAGCTTTGCTTGTTATCACTTGATGCCACTCATCAACCAAAATGAGTGCAATTTGTTGCCACTACTTAACATCAATTATCGGTTATCTGGCTTGCAACTTCCGGATCACTCAATCTCCCCTATTATTACGAACGACTAATTCAATTGTTCACGATCACTCAACTTTCTACATTTTTTAGCCAGAACTCTAATTTCTACCGATGATATATTTTTGATATAAGTCTTATTAGTCATTTATTATTTTTTTATTTTAAAAAAAAATCCAAGCCAATGACTCTTTATCATACAGCTAGGGTTGTAAACGAGCCGAGCCTTGGCTCGTGTTCGGCTCGAAATTGGCTCTTTAAACTAAAATTGAGAAAAATAGATGTAAAGTGTGGGATTCGAACCTGGATCAAATCTATACAAAAAAAAAACACTAAGCACATTGTCACATGAGGTGTTATGATTTAAACTTAGACATTATATATACACATATATATATTGGAGCCAATTTGAGCCAAAAACAAATGAACAAACTTTTGTTTGTGTTCGGCTTGTTTACATTTCGAGCTTAAAATTTTGTTCGTGTTCGGCTCGTTCAGAACGAGCCGAACACGAGCTGCTTAACGAATCGAACACGAGTTGTTCACGAACAACGAGCCTAATTGACAGCCCTACATACAGCTTTTGATGTCCCTCTTAGCTTGCTAATGATCACCAGTAGAAAATAGGCTAAGAATTGGCTTAGATCTTCTAAAATTTCTTGCAACCATCCAACATGAGAGTTCTTAATGAGGGAATCACATTAGAATTGTAATGGAAGGAGCACAAAGATGAGCTAGTAGAGCCCTAAATGGTGGTTCAAGCTTGAGTACTCTTAAGAAATAAGAGATAAGAGGTATATAAGTCTAACTAACGAGAGTGGTAGATCTACGTATATAGAATTTCTAGAAGTAATGTGCCCCCACAGGTGAATCAAATAAGCATAAGATTATTCAATTTTAAGATTGTTAGAAAGTTTCAATGCTAAATGAATAATATGTGATCGACGAAATTAGCACAAAATTTCTAATAGAATGTTTTTGAGATTTTGGATAAATTTATCGAGACGTCTCTCCCAAAACTCTATAAGTATAGCTTCGTTACCGAGATGAGGAATGATATAGCTGAGTTAAGTTCAATTTAACTTTTAGAGAAAGGTTGAGGTTAAAAATTATCAAAAATTATTCTCAATCGTTATTAGTGATTTTCATAGTCTAATTAAGTTTATATGGCTATTGTAGCTCGGTTATTATTTCTATGCTATTTTTACCTAATAATTATAATTAAAATTAACACAGATATTTATCAAGCACGTGTTTGCACACATTATTATTGGTCGAAAAAAAGAGCGAAATTTTGTAATTTTAATTACATAATGAATAATTCTAACTTGGCCATGCTTCGTGAGGTTTCTACGTAAAAATCTTATTATCTTTTATCATTGATATCTATGTGTGTTGGTTGCTTTAGAGAGCTAATATTAAATTTGTGTATGCCAATAAGACTTGTTTAAGGCACAACAAAATTAATTTCATCATTTAAATATGTGGCCCCTAAACTTAGCCATTTGTTCACACTAGTAACGAACAATCAATTTGAAAACTATAAATAAACCATCCAATATAGTCTGAACAAGAATGGCAGAACCAAGACACATCCTGTCGTCCGGAGCTGTTTATTTATTTATTTATTTAAGGAATATTTACATATATACCACTTAATTTTTATGTATTTACATATATCTAACATCTAAATTTCAATATATATATATATATATATATCTCATCCTTAACCAAAGTAAAATTAATCTATATATTGATGAGTGCTAGAGGACTCACCAAAGTGGAGTAATGAATATTTACCATCTTAGCATTGCATGAAAAATCAGCATTCACTCGGGTAATTAAAAATGAGTAAGTAAGATGAGACACCTCGACTTTTTACGTGAAAACTTGAAAGTAAAAGCAACCACGAGGTCTAGTCAAGTTGAAATAAACCTCTGTGAACGGTGAGTACATACGTCTACTCTTATACTGAATTAGGAAAAATGAAATTACAAAGTTGCATATCCGTAATCTAGTTGTAGCAGATTGCAAAGGTCATAGACGATTGTCGCAAAGGTACTAGTCCGTCATGAATTTTGTAGATGGTGGTTGTAGATCCAGTTTGTCATAGAAGTCGTAGTTGATAATCATGACAGTAGTTGATCAGATGAGTCATAGATGGATGCTTAAGAAGCATCAGTTGGTCATAAAGATCGTAGTAGGGAGTTGCAGGAGTTGTGCATCACATTGGCCGTAAGAGTCGGAGTCAGGAGATACAGGAGTTGTGGAATATGTCGGTCGTAGTTGGTCAGATAGGTCGTAGTGAAGAGTATAACGTTAGTAGGTCGCGATGACCGGAGTCGGGAGCTGAACGAGTTGTGCACCACCTAGGTTGTAATTGGTCACATAGGTCGTAGTAGTTAGTAGTAATGACGTTCGTAAGGTCGCGAGGGCTGAAGTTGGGAGTTGCACGAGCTGTGGATCACATAAGCCATGTTGGTTACATAAGCAGCATTTGTTGTGATTAGTAATGACACCCGAAGGTTGTGAGGGCCCGAGTCTGGAGCTACATGAGCAGTAGACCACCTAGGTCATAGTTGGTCACGTAGGTCATGGTGATGAGTAATAATGACATCCGTAAGCCGCGAGGGCTAGAGTCGAAGCTGCACAAGTTTTGGATCATGTAGAATGTAGGTGGTCACGTAGGCCGTAGTGGTGAGTTGTAATGACCTTCATCGGCCAAAAGGACGAGAGTCAGGAGTTTCACGAGCGTATGTCAAGTGTGTAATTACCCCATCTCGAGATGCACTCCCGAAGATCGAAATGACGTGTCGCATTGCAAGCTACTTCATGACTCTACGATGTCAGTTTTTTATTCGCACGATGATTTGTCGCAAGGAGTGGGCGACGACTGATGGTGACCGACAGCGATCTACGAGTGGTAGTCAGTGGCTATAGAATTAGGAGGTAACTTCAGCTCCTTCTTCAAGTTTCAGTTTTCTTTAGGCTTCAAACACTCTCAGTTTCGAGAGAGAGGCGGGGTTCTATTTATAAGTCTTATTTGCAATTAATGAAGAAATATGAATTACTATAATTGGACGATCCAGAGAGATTCTTTCGAATGATGCTTGATAGGCATTGAGTGTTTAATGATGTCAGAATTAAACAATCTTGAACTCGTTGGATTCATCTTCTCGAGATGCTCAATTAAACTATGAGTGCACCAGATTCGACATCTGCTTAAACTTTCAAACATGCATAAAAGATTCCTAAAACAGTTTAATGGCCTGATTGGGGTTTAATTTGATTTATATCAAACTAATTTTGGTATCATTAGATCCATCTCGTTGAGTCGGCCTGTTTGACTATAAGTTTGGTGAAATCAGAGCTCTGAATAACTTTTAATCAAAATTTTAATATTTTTTGCTTGAAAAGTTGTCAAGAGATTTATATGATAACTTGAGATTTGTGCCTATATATATTATTTATACATAAAAATATATTTAATTTTCTTAAAATTAAATTGTGATATTTTTCATCCCATAAAAAGGATTTAGATGGTACAAATGTAAAATCTAAATTTATGTATATTTTAATGTAAATACATAGGATTTGAGTGGTCTGCATGTAAATGCCCAACCAAAAAAACATTGGATGAATCAAAACAAATGAGCCTAAATTATAGCGGCAAAAAAATAATTACATTAAAAATTTATCATATAAATTACTGTTATGTTGTTAAAATCATGAGCCATCGTTTGAAAATCAAGAACACCACCACCACCCCCATTAGGAACTCATCTTCACCGACTCAACACCGTCGTGTTTCACAAAAAGTTCATATTTTTTTTTATTGAAGCTTAATGAAAAGTCCATAGTTGCGCCGCGTAAGCTTCATCTGCTCTCATTTCTTCTTCTTCTTCCCCTCTTTTTAAATCCCCCCTGTATCCTCCCTTACTTCCCCTACTCGTCCTCTTTCCTGCTTCTTCGAAGTGAGAAGACGACAAAGAAGAGAAATCATGGGGAATTGCCTCAACAGTCCGGTGAAAAGGCTGACTCCTTCTACAACGAGAGCTTCCAGCCCAGGTATTCTGATATGCAACAAGCATTATTACATTGATGAGCCGTCCAATCCGGCTTTATGCCTCGTTTTAACCTTTCAAAGCTATATATTTCTGATCAAAATAAGATTTTTTTTTTATAATTATAGTAAAAAAACCAAAATTTGTTTAATACCAGGGACTTCAGCTGCAAGAGGGGCTAGCAATTTTACATCTAAGCTTCCGAGCTTTAGCAGCAGCACAAATGAGAACTCAATTGACATTGAGGGGTTTTCTGAGGGGAGGATTTTAGAGGCCGCAAATCTGAAGGTCTTTACTTTTGCTGAATTGAAGAGTGCCACGAGGAACTTTAAGTCTAGCACAGTTCTTGGCGAAGGAGGTTTTGGGACAGTTTATAAGGGATGGCTTGAAGAGAAGACTCTGAGTCCTGCAAAAAGTGGGAGTGGCATGGTGGTTGCTGTTAAAAAACTGAAATCTGAAAGCGCGCAAGGTTTGGAGGAATGGCAGGTAAAGTTTGAATCATCATTTCATAAAAAGCTGTGATTTTTATTTGATTCCTCTCAGTTAATTGGAGAAGTTTTTTTTTTTTTTTTTTCAAGCTCTTTCAGAATTGAAAATTTTGTTAGAGCAAATCAGATACCTGAAAATTTCCTTTTTTTCTTATGTTATTGTTGATGGCGATCTAATATAGTAGTTAACCACAAAATGCGAGGGCCTGTTTGAGATCACTTTCATTGTTGATGATGATCCAATATTTGATTTTTCTGTTCGCAACATCCTTAGCTTTCTATTGTTCATTTAACAAAGTCAAACTGCAGCTTTTATTGCATGGAGGAGATGAATTTCAGAAGCATCTTTAATTACTAACTTGTTCTTAAATTGCCTAAATTTATAGTCTCAGCTGGTTGATGATTTTCTGAATTTGTAGATTAGGAAATTCAGCTAATATTATTTTTCTGTCATATAAGCCATAACTGATGATTTACATGTGAATTCTGCTTTTTTTAAAGATTTTTATTTCTTGCATTAAAATACATCCCAATGCGGAGTTTTGCTCATTTTCCATCTTTTTAATTTTTATGCTCTTTTCATTTCTTGGTAATCATCATTGCAGTCTGAAATAAACTTCTTAGGGAGACTTTCACATCCCAACCTCGTCAAGCTCTTGGGCTACTGCTGGGAGGACAAGGAACTCCTCCTTGTATATGAATTCATGCCAAAGGGAAGCTTAGAGAATCACCTCTTTAGAAGTAAGTTCCAAAATTTCAATAAACTCTTCCTCACAATTTCGTTAGGTAAATAAATAACTTTTAAGACTTTTTAAATTAATGACATTTCGACAAATTCTTTAGTTACCGTTTATTTAAATGAGTGGAGTACCAAATAGCCCCTGACTATTTGCATGAGTCATTTTAGTCCCATAGTCTATAAAAGTGTCATATTCTCCATAGCATCATTTAATATGGGTTGAAATAGTTCCCATAGAAGATTATTTTAGCCTTCATTAAAAGTGCCCGGAGCTAAATTGACATTTCCATAGACTTTTAGACTAAATTAGACTCCTAGAAAGAGTAAAGGAACGATTTTGACACTTCTTTCTTATTTAAATGATTTTCTCAAGTAATAGCCTCCTCTATCTCAGTTCATTTCAGAACCCACATGACTCTTATTCGCATGTCCTCATCTTCTACTTGCAAATTCACATGTCCTCATCTTCACTTGTGCAGGAGGTGCAGCTTTTGAGCCACTCTCATGGAGTTTAAGGATGAAGGTAGTCTTAGGAGCTGGCCGAGGCCTTGCTTTTCTGCATTCATCAGAAAAGCAAGTAATCTATAGAGACTTCAAGGCTTCAAACATCCTTCTAGACTCTGTAATTCTTCTTCCTAACCTCCTGAACTTTACACTAAATTCCATCTTTGGATTCAATCTGATCTCCTCCATTTTTGTTACTCAGAATTACATCCCAAAGCTCTCTGATTTTGGGCTAGCAAAGCATGGACCAGTTGGTGGTGACTCCCACATTACGACAAGAATAATGGGCACCTGCGGTTATGCAGCACCAGAATATGTTGCTACAGGTATGAGTGATTACAGTTCTGGTACTCTCCCACTAAAAATATCTTCATCTATTTAATGATTGTTCCCACTACCTCTTGTAACTTTTTTAAAATTATATTTTTTTCTCTTTTTTTTTGCACTTTTAGAGCTGACTATGATTATACGTCATATCTTATGCTTTTATTTTGTTGGGAAAGAGTTGCATTATGTCACTCCACCACTGCCTTTTGAGAGTATGAGAATTCCTGATAGAAATTTCTTTTCAGCACTGTTAGGTTCTCCTGAAATCCTAAAGCAAGTGTTGACCAATTAAGTTTGATATGCAAAAACATAAAAATTGGGCGTTATGTATGTAAATGCCCCTAAGTTAAGGAAGATTTACATGCATGCTACGAAATTCTTATGTATTTACATATCTTATTGACAGCTAAACTTCATTTTTTACATATATATATGCCACCTTACCTATGCAAAGAAAGGTGTATTTTACTTTTTAAAAGTTGAAATAGTGGTCTTTTTGATGTGATATTAAAGATTTAAGTGGTGTAATATTAAAAAGTAAAGATTATACGTCATATCTTATGCTTTTATTTTGTTGGGATAGAGTTGCATTATGTCACTCCACCACTGCCTTCGAGTATAAGAATTTTCTGATAGAAATTTCATTTCAGCACTGTTAGGTTCTCCTCATGAAATCCTAAAGCAAGTGTTGACCAATTAAGCTAGATATGTAAATACATAAAAATTGGGTGGCACATATGTAAATGTCCCTAAGTTAAGGAAGATTTACATGCATGCCATTAAACTTCAAATTTTACATATAAGCCAACATAACTATATATGAAAATGTGTATTTCACCTTTTTTTTTTTTTTGAGTTAAAATAGCACTCTTTTTTGTTTGATACGAAAGATTTAAGTGGTAGAAATATAAAAAATAACTTTTACAAGTTAGATATGTAAATACATAAAAATTGGGTGGTATGTATTTTCATGCCCTTTCAAGTACTCAATATATAAATATAAAATGTGAATTTTCTGTTATACTTCAAACATTACTTTTCAGCCAACAGAATTCTCCATTAAACTTGCAGGCCATCTGTATGTCAAGAGTGATGTTTATGGTTTCGGAGTAGTGTTGCTCGAGATACTTTCTGGTCTGCGTGCGCTTGACTTGAGTCGACCGAGCGAGCAGCACAATTTAGTAGGTTGGGCTAAACCGTTTCTCTCTGATCGAAGAAAGCTGAGCCGCTTGATCGATCAACGGCTTGAGGGTCAGTATCCAACAAAGGCTGCGCTTCAGGCGGCGCAGCTCACTCTTAGATGCCTCGCCGGCGATCCTAAGAGCCGTCCGTCGATGAAGGAAGTGGTGGAGACTTTAGAGCAAATTGAATCTATAAAGACGAGATTGAAAGCGGGAAGAGCGAATAGCTCCTCGACGACAATGTAAGAGCAAAGCCACCATTAGAAGAGGCTTGTGGAGTTCGGATTGATTGTATTTGGTAATATTTCATCGCAATACCATCAAATCTGCACCTACCTTATCCGCACGTAGGATTGGAAAGGAAGGTTAGGGTGAGGAGGAAATATTACGTACGGATAATGTAGGTGCGGATTACTGGTATTATAATGGTATTGTGGTGGTAATATAGGTGTTGATTTGGTGATATTACAAAACCACCACAATACCATCACAATACACCAAATTCGCATCTATATCATCTCTACGTAATATTTCTTCTAAGGTGCGGCAACTTTACTGCTTGATTCAGGTTTATGGAAAGCGTTGCTTTGCTTAATTGGTTTGATCTGCTGCAGATCAAACTACAATTTTGCTGTTAGTTTTGTGTGTGAATTTATCTTTTTTGTTAAAAAAGCTTCTTTTGGTTTGAGTTGGAAACGATGTGATGAATGATTAGGTACAATCACTGTATTTGAATTTTATTATTGTTTTTGTTGTATGAAATGTAAGGAAGTCTGCTCTCAAAGAATGATAAAACTACTATCTTAATTCCTTGTGATACGCCATCAACAACTTTTCATCACCCGACATTGATGTTGAGGTATGACATGACTATCGAGATAATTTTTTTAGTAAGAAATGTTTAGCCTTCGCATAAAAATCATTCAGAACTCTTATTTCAGCACGCTTACAATTAAAATGACAAATTTGATGAGACACTAAATGACATTAGAATTGATCTAATCCGAGTCAGATAAAGCCTGGATCATGTAGTTAAATCACTTTTAAAAATTTTGGATGGTTAATTGAAAGGTCAATCGAATTTCAAATCCGACAAACTTATAGTTAAATCAAGTGTCTTGTCAGGACAAATCCAAAAAACCCAAGATCACTCAATTTTAAAATTGCATAGGAAGTCTAGTTCCAAATGTTCCTTTTCAGTTTAAAACTGATTTGCTATTTCTTATATGAAAATAATTTATTTTAATGCATGTATTTCATATTTTTCATATATCTATTCTACCTCAGCAAAATATTATGACATGTTTTGCTAGTACAAGTCTATATATTTAAACTTAATTTTTTTTCTAATTGTTTGGTCTCGATTTGAGGCATCTATAGTAAATTCTAGTATAACAAATAATATGATAATTTTTTATTCTTATATCTATCATAAACATTAGATTAAGGAATTTCAGAGGCCACTGTGACATGAAACAATGATAACAAAAAAAAGATACAATCACATAAAATTATAAATAAGTGCACACTAATTAAAATTATGGTTGAAGGCAAAATTTTATTTACATAGGTTATAGTATCAAAAAAATATAAAAAAGTCACTAAAGCATCCATAAAAACAAACCTAAGCTCAAATGACATCTAGGAAGTCAAAAATATCCATGAACACCAATTTTAGCATGTTCCCAACAATCCTAGTGAAAATGTTGTGCAATATTATAAAAAAAAACAAAAATAGATTGAAAAGTATGTAATATTTTTCAATTCATCAATAATAATTAAATACATACAATACTTTTTTTTGAATTATGTGATATTCATCTCTTTTTAATAAAATTTATATATTTATGCAATAAGTTTTACTATCCTGAAAAAAGATATTGGTTTCACCTCGGCATATAACCCAACATTTTTTTTTAATTATACAATTATTACTTTGGTATAGACTTAGGGTCTCCTTGGGGCAGTTGAAGGTCATTAATAAGCTGCTGATAAGCAATTGATCCAGATAAATTGTTCATCAGCAACTAATTCAGATTAGTTGATTTGTTGTTTTGTTTGTGTTGTTGGAAAACATATATTTTGTAGTTGTTTCTTGATAAATGACTATTCTGCCCCTGTGCAGTAATGATGTTTGCAACAAAACAGTCGTAACAATATATTTGATACTTAAGAAGCAAAAAAACCACTTCATAATAGTACAAAAAAATAAGATAGACACCTCACTTAACAGTGAGTATCAAAATTGCTAAAAAAAAGAAAAAAATTATTAAAATTACAATTAAAAATATGATAATATTAATTTTAAAATGCAAACGACGTATGTCACGAGCTATATCGTCCTTCAAGGATACCATCCAACCCCGATCACTATCAGCACTCTTTTCTAACCGTTTTTAAGATTCATGATCAAACAAAGAAATATAAAAACAACAGGGAATGTAGATTTTAGGCAATTACAACCAATGCACCCGAAACAAATCACCTAAATAAATCAAACATCATTTTTCATCCATTTATCAAATTCTCAGTAAAACATCAAACCAATTTAAAAAACCTCATCAATAGAGAAAGCAAAAAATCGCATGAAAAAAGTCATTCCATAATAAATTACCACATGAATAACCACAGAAACTAGAGATCGGAGAGAGGAGAAAGAGGAAAAGGAAACGCCACGCGTGAGAGAGATAAAGACGCAAGAGAGAGTACCAAAGGGTTGGCAAGAGCGATCGACGCTAGGGCTGATGAAACTCGAGAGAGGCACGAGGTAGAGGGCAGTGGGGAAACTATTACGCAAACAAACGCGGGCCGCGGAGTCAAACCTGAGTCTATATTTAATAGAATAGGATAAGCTCCCGCGCTGCACGAAACAAACGCCCCCTAACGCATTTTCAAAATGCACCGCACCAAATAAGCTGCCCCAAATGTGCCCTTAGAGTATAGGCTTATGATTAAATTTGGATAACGTTTTAATTTATATTGATTTCATTGTCATGGCCATGTCACAAGTATTATATGCGAAATGTGGAGGGTTGCGTTAGGTAGTCGACAGCCAGTGCAAAATTGTCAAAAAAATCATGACATAAATCATTTTAACCATTGTATAAATTTTAGGGCATCCTCTATAAGCGACGTATTGCATAGCTTGGATACAGTGAGAAGGGTGCAAAGGCCGCTACAACGACGCCCATGTATAGTGTCAAATAAACAAGAGTTCTCACATTACAAATGGATGCGAGTAAAGAAATTAGTTCATGAAATTAATATTATGATAAGATCTTGAAATATAGGTACTCTCACAGATAAACTAATGAAATTACTTGATATTATGATTCATAACAAGATAAATATCTTATGTATTCATGAAACTAAATGAGTTGGAGAAAAGGCTAAGAAGATTGATAGCTTAGGTTTTAAAATTTAATATTCAGGTAAGAATCGCACTAAAAATTTGCATGTATAATTATAGATCAGAGTTTGAAAGTTAATGGTGTAAAAATTAATAGAATTGGAGATAGAATTATAGCCCTTAAGATTATTGTTGAAACTAAGATTTTAAATATTATAAGTGCTAATACTCTGCAAGTAGGATTAAATATAGGTTCTAAATATAAATTATGAAATGACCTAGAATACTTAATACAAATAATACCTCTTGAAAAAAAAAAATTATTGGAAGAGATTTCAATGGACATATTGCTAGAGTGATAGAAAATTTTTAAAGATATTCATTGTGGCTACAATTTTATAGTGATTAATGAAGAACATAGAGTCATATTATATTTTTCTTTAGCATATGATTTTGCTATTGCTAATATTTTATTCAAGAAAAGAGATGTGCATATTATTACTTATAAGAATGGATCTGATAAAAGATTTTTTTTTTTATGAGAAGATATCTTCGAGAATGTAAGAATTGCAACGTCATTCAAAGTGAAGATTTAATTACTCAACATCAATTATTAATTCTAGATTTTAATATGAAGAGTTGTAAAATAAAGAAAACTATGAATCATTATCTTAGAATTAGATGGTGGGACCTAAAAGAGAGAGAAAATTATTTTTATGAGTGAACTTCAAGATTTCAAGATTTGAGATGGTCACGAAGAAGCAAATTCTATGTGGGATAATGTAAAAAATAATATTAAACAAGTGAAAAAAGATGTACTTTTAGTATCAAAAGAAAAAATTTCTGCAAATAAAAATAATTAGTGGTAGAATAATAATGTGCAGTAAAAGATACAATACCAAAAGTTGTGTTATAAAAATTAACTTAAATGTAATAGCTTAGAAAACTTGGAAAGATACGAAATGCTCTATAGGTAGTCTAAAAGAACCTGTGACACTAAAAGTTCTGCTTTTAGAGATCTTTATAATATATTATATACTAAAGATAGTGAAAAATATATGTATAAACTATGCAAACAAAGAGAAAAGTAAAGATTTAACTCAAGTAAAGTATAATAAAGATGAAAATCAAAAAGTGATTTTCTTAAATAAAGATATTCAACAAAGGTGGTGACTTATTTTGCTAAACTTTTAAAAGAAATTTTTAAAGTATGATCGACATTAGTGAATTTAATATCATTAAATAATAAAATGCTTCATTTTTACTGCCGCATTGGTAAAAAAGAAATTGATGAAGCTTTAAAAAAATCAAGGGTGGAAAGTCTCTTGGAGATTCCAATTAAAGTGTGGAAATATATACAAGATTTGGGAGCTTTTAAGGTTACTAAACTCTTTAATATTATTTTAAAAACTAAAAAGATGTCTGAGGAGTGTAGGAAAAGTATTTTGGTTCCCACTTTTAAAAATAAAGAGGACGCACAGGAGTGTGCAGATTATAGAGGAATTAAGTTGATGTGTCATACTACAAAATTATAGGAGAGAGTAATTGAACATAGGTTAAGACGAATTACAAAGATTTTTCATAATCAATTTGGATTTATGTCGGACAAGTTTACTATTAATGTTATACATCTATTAAGAGATTTAATGAAGAAGTTCAGAGAGAATAAGGAGGATCAACATATATTTTTTATTGATTTAGAAAAAACTTATGATAAAGTTCCAAGAGATATACTTTGGAGAGTTTTAGAAGAGAATGACATTGATATGAATTATATTCAAGTCATTAAGTATGTGTATACTAGATCTATTACTTGTATTCAAACAGAGTGAGGATTGAACAAATATTTTCCTATTTCAGTTGGATTACATTAGGGATCGAATTTAAGCCTATAACTTTTTGCTTTAGTTATGGATGCTCTTAATGGACATTTACAGGAGGATGTACCTTGGAGTATGTTTTTAACTGATGATATCATTCTCGTGGATGAGACTAGAGAGAAAACTCTGGAAAAACTTGAATTATGGAGGTCTACATTGAAATCTAAAGTAGAACTAAAACTGAATACATGGAATGTAATTTTAGTAGTACTAACTGCTTTAGTGACAAAGTTGTAACTATGAGTGATCAAATTATTAAAAGGTGAGAATATTTTAGATATCTCTAGTTTATTGTTCAAATTGATGGTGATATAGATGGAGATGTTATTAGTAAAATTCAAGTTGGTTGAACTGGAGGAATGCTTCAGGCCTATTGTGTGATAAAAAAGTACCGCTTAGACTGAAAAGAAAATTTTATAAGATGATGGTGAGACCTACCATGCTCCATGACATTGCATGTTAACCTTTAAAAGAGAAGCATAAAACTAGGTTAAGTGTTGTCGAGATGAGAATGCTTAGGTGGATGAGTGACTTTACACTTAGAGACAAGATATGAAATGAATATATCACTCATAAGGTTGGCGTAGCTCCAGTGACAGACAAAATTAGAGAGTCATCATGGATGATTTGGTCACATTAAACATCGACCATCTGATAATCTGGTTAGGATAGTAAATGTTTTAGATTCGACTTATGTTAAGAAAGACAGAGGTAGACCTAGAAACACTTGAGCATATTGTAAAAAAAAATGATCGTAATTTATTAGAATTAAATGAAAATATAACACTCGATCGGACACAATGGAGAAAAAAGATTCATGTAGCCAACCCCGCTTAGTGGGATAAAGATTTGTTGTTGTTGTAATGAAATATTTAAAATAATTATTAAGTTTTTATGCCTTTAAATGGTGGCCAATAAAAACTCTATTGATAGATCAAAAAAGGAAAAAAGGAAAAAAAAAATGAAAAGATTAAGGAAAAAAAACTACTTTCCTAATTGAGCCAATCTTCTTAAAAATTCTGACAATAATAAATGTGAAATTAGGAGAGGGAAAAGAAACTTCATTACGCCGGATAATAATCATTATCACCGGTTAGACCATAAATAATAGAATTTTCCTATGACCATCTAACCATTGAAATATCAAGACAAGAGAAAATTGTTTGGTTATTAAAATTTGAAATATAATGATTTATTGAATCAAATGATTATCCAAATGTTTATAACGGTTTGAACCAAGTGTTCAATATATTGATGCTAGTCTTCACACATGGATATCTAAAATTAAGAATGCAAACGAAAGTGTTTTACTTTCTCCCTAATTTTCTTTTTCAATATCATCGTCTTCAATTGCAACATTCATAGTTTGAAGTGGCATCTGGTAATTTTTTTCATTCATGAGATTTGATGGTGAATATCAGATATTTGATATGCATTATAGGAGCATTTCGTGTAAAAATACTTTTTTCTAGAAACTTGCTCACATACGTGCAATAAACCACAAATTTATAAAGTAGCATGTGTGCATGCAATTGCGACTTTGAGAGCTTGACGTTTTGATCACCAGTTTTTGTTTTGAAATATTTTACATTGTCTTGTAGGTCAGAATTTCAGTACATCTCAAATTTATTCACCATCAAATCTCATGAATGAAGAAAATTATTGGATGCACAACAAGCTACAAATGACGCAACTGAGGACAATGATATTGAAGAATAATTTCAAAACCATGAGTTGTGATATTGATCACTGCGATCGCCTTCTCGATATACACTCGGCTTAAGCGTCATTCCACCCCGGCGTGAAGGCTAGTTTTATTTTATAAACACGCTTTTACGAGAATATTTTAATTTGAAATAAATTTTATGTATTTCATTTATTGTTAGCTAATTCATTTTGTTCATTTTTTCTTTTTTATTAATTTAAAATTTTATTTGTAATAATAGTTAATATATATTAATATTAAAATTATTTATAATATTATAAATTATATATATATATATATATA